TCGTCGCCCGTGTCGTCGTCACCATGATCGCAGATTTTGGCACCACTTGGGGCCGATTGCCTTTAGCGGGGTTCGAACCCCGATCTCGTCCTCGACTGGTCCTAGCTTTACAACTCCGCCTATCCCCCGCTTTGGACCTAGCGGTTGTGGTGTTGAAGACGCTCCGAGTTCCAACTTTCAAGCCGATTTGGTGAACCGCGATCTTGAAGACGACGTCGCTGAAGCTCCAGCAACTTTCGCCGGTAGTGCTCGTTGCGTCGGCTCCACGGGGTTGCATTCAACTCAAGACTTCACTCAGGCGGGTGCCTATTGTGTCCATGGTAGCTGTGTGCCTCCCGTGTCCGTGGCCGATCTGGCCAACGCAACGCACGTAAGCTTAAGCACCGTTTGTCGTCCCTTGAGGCTCGAGACAGCTCCGCATCGAGTTCTTGTCGACGTGGAGCTGGAGACTCCTCGGATCCTACGGCCCTCCCAGGGACTTGTGGGGAGGGTTTGTATCCCGAGGGCGGTCTCGCCGGAGCAAAGTTGCATCCCAATCACCGTTTTGCGGGGACGACATAGCGAGAGATCTTTCGCCTACGGAAGTTGCTTTTTTGGGTACAGACGGCCTTGCCCCCACCAGTTTCGTGAACAATGAGGCTGGTCTCACAGCTACCCACCGTGCCCCCGCCTGTGCTGAGACCCCCACCACCTCGGGTGAAGAAGGACCCGTGGAACCGACCCGAGACCCTGCCGCGGTTGAAATGTTGCCTGTAGAGTCTCCCGATGACGACTCGATCAACGGCGAAGTGCAGCCGACCGGTTCCAAATCATCTGATAGACTTGGCCAACCTGCTGAGGAAAAGGACGAAGGAAACTCTTCATCCAAGAAGGCAGTGCCAAGTGGAAACTCGGCGAAACCAAAGTCCAAGGGCGTCCCGAGCACTTCAAAGCACCGCGATGCTGGTGGGCATGTTATTGCGGATACCGACATCGCTCGCTGTGAAGCTAAGGCGGACCAGTTCTACAAGAACCCTCTCGACATGGATGCCTTCATAACAGTATCTTGATGACGCCTCAAAGGGAAGTCTATGAGCTGTCGATCAAACTGGGCGAAGGCTTCCGTTCGTGGTCGGAGAAGGTCATCTGCATCCAATTCGTCAAGGAAAATCCGGGATCATTGTGGTCGTCCAATTTCCCCAACATCCTCATCCACAAGAAGAACCCCCTTATCATGGTCATCTCGTGCTACACGCTCAACACGTGCATTGAGATGGGGGCACCACATTCAAGCTTGGGGCAAGGATTTCCAGGTCCCATGTACTCGCGGTTCGGGCAAAATTACTTTGTCACGTTCACCAAGATCAACAGTCCGGCCATTGTGTGAAAAAATTGGCCGAGATGACTGGGTTGGTGATCGCTGCGTTCAACCTAACTGCGGGTCAAAACGTGGCCTCGCCTCATTTGCATGTGATCTACAAGGCCTCGACACCCACTGTGGACTTGGCGCCATCATCTGGCCCACCTCTGCGTGAAATCGAAGTGGCCGATGCGTCGGGGAGAGCTGTGTCCGTGATTTTTCAGCACAAGTTTGCTGCACTGAACAACATGATGTCGGCTTCGATTGCTGCACGCAACTCGAAAAGTCGTTCGGATCCATCAGCGACACCCAGGCCTGTACAGCAACCAACCCCAACGGATGCTCGGCAACCTGTGCGTCAAAACACTCCCTCATCAGCCCAGGAGAGTGCAAACGAAGCCCCGTTTTCAGCTTCTCGTCCTAGCGATGACCACGATCTGGAACACGAGTCTGCGACAGAGGCTTCTCCGACGGAAATGGCCATTTCCGTCGGAGAAGTGAATGTAGAGCCCTCTCAAGTCAACCCATCTCAAACAAACGATGTGGACATGACTGCGTCAAGTTCTCCAAATCTCTCCGACACGCCCGACGATGCTCCACTGGAAGAGCACCCGATGACCTCCCAGAGGGACCTCCAATTGGTTACGGGCAACCAGTTTGGTCCTGCAGCGAAACTACCTTCATCATTGTCGCCTCGATCCGCACCACTCTTGACGAACAATCGATATGCTATTCTCGAAGAAGAGGACGTGGAGCTGTCTATGGACGACTTTGTTCTCCCCCGTATCGTGCTGACGGATGCCAACTTTCCTCGACCTACGAAAGTACAAGGCAAGAAGCAGCGCGCCAACAAATCCAAGCATGCTCACTTGGAACGTGCACAACGGGCAATTCGCGACGAGAAAGTGGTCAGAAGCATCGTCGAATGCAAGAGCATTTTGCTCCAGGAGCCCCAAATCATCGCTCACTCGATGTATTCCTGGGCAGACGACTTTGACCTGTTCAATTCGCTGACAGCAACCGGGCCATCGAGCGCGAGATGGCCAAGCACACTTTGCTCGATGAAGAGGATAACTACAAGGCGTATCTGGGGTTTTACACCCAGAACTACGTAGACCCAAGTCAAATTCTTGCGGAAATCGTTCCAGAGTCTCACAAAGCATCCGTGCGCCTGGCGGTGGCAGCGATGGATTTGTTCCTGGAGAATCGCGCACCTAACCTCTACAACATGCTGACGCACTCGATTCATTGCTGAGTAATACAGCCACTCGATGCAAGGCATTCAACCATTGACGGACTGGACCATTCTACACGTGGTGGCCACGCTACACTCGACCCTCGAATCGTTCAAGTAGCCTGGTCCTATCCTCACGGCACTGAAGACACTTGTCCACATCATCGACAACTTAACTTCCAATTTTACTCGCTCAGACGCATCCGGATACATACCGGACGCATTATGACTAGCGAGACGAATGGCGGACGCCTGGCTATAGCGCAGGCGCTTCATCACCCTCCGTTTGAGGACCCCAACCAACTCAACGACCGCCCTTTCGAGCTGCCTAAGCATGCTCGAGCGCGTAGTCCGCCCAAACCAACCCGCAAAGCCACCCTGGCAGCGGGTCGCAAGAAAGGTCACTCCCGCTCGCGGCGAGAGATCGCTTCCTCCACCATGCGTAAGTCTACTCGGCCCCACCGGTCGACAACCTCTTCCGTCGCGTCCGCCTCTGGCGGCACGGATGACACCATGGGAGTTGTCGAGCTATCTGGACTTACCGAGCCGACTCCTCCTCCGCCAACCACCGCGGGCGCTACCGCAGCACCTGTTGCCACCACCACCTCAGAAACGCCGGACCCGGCAAAAAGAGCTGCCAAAGGTCCGTTTGCTGACCGCACCACCAACCCCGGACAATCATTTGCAGACACGGTTCGCATGCAAGGCAAGCGACACCCACCACCGAAACATCGGGACACCCCTGCGGACGCCAGCCTCCAGCAAGCGCACGCTTACTGCAAAAATCCGAGCGCGGCTTGGACCACCCATCGTCGGGCACCCAGTCCACAGGAAGCTGATATTTTGGACGCTATCCTGGATGGCAGGCTGCCATTGGACACCCCTCCCAAGTTTCTTAAACAGATCCTTACTGCCACCGAGATCGCACTGTTTCACGACCAGATGCGGCAAAACTTTGGGTATCTCCAAATTCCCATCAAGGTGTCCACCCGTATCCATCCCGACATGACAAGCGTCTCTCTGGCTCGCCTGTTTTCGCCCGCCAACCTGGGGGACAACAAAGAGGCGGTCCAGTTGTGTGACTCCCTGCGTCAGGATATGCACTCTTGCTATCTGCACCCCCACGGGCGGAAGCTGATAGTGCAATTCAACTCCAAAGCCAAGGCGGCCAGGTGGCGCGACAAACCGATTCCTTTCCGCGGCCAGTTAACCTGGATGCGCCACTACCGGCGGCCGGAAGACCCCTGCACCGACCTGGACACCGAAGAGGTGCAGCAACACATGGCGTACAGCTTCCGGCTGCTCCAAGTTCCCGCCTACGTCAAGAGCATGCAGGTACTCCAAATGCTCCGGCA